TCATCACGCCGGATCTGGGTCAGCGCCGCCACACGCTCGCGTCATGATACTCGACCACAAGTGATGCAGTAGAGACGAAAATGTGGAATAAAGTCATTATTTTTGTTTTCTTTGTGCAAAAAAGTATTCTCATAGCTTCGTAACTTTACAGTTTAACCACTGATGTCACACGGACTACTTTGTCGATCATCTTGGTACTTTTCTGGACCTTGAACGTGGTAGTTACCTTGCTGTCTATGGGAGGGTCAGAGAGCCCTCAGATTTAATCAAAACTATTTTAAATTGTGTTCCGAAGATGAACGAAGGTCTTACGGGTTTCGAACAACATGATGGTGAGTAATTAATGACAGAATTTTCATTTTTGGGTGAACTATTCCTTTAATGCATTCTTGAAAAATGAAGGTATTAATTTAATTTTAAAAAAGGTAGTTTACATAAAGTATATAAAATATGCATTACTTCTTCATTTAAAAATTTGCTGCTAAATTATTTCTTATTGCCTCAGGGCCTCATGAGCCCCAAAATATGTTTTACTACTAGCTTGACTGGATGTGTCTAAATATATGACAGATAAATACAGACAGAAGGTCACTTATTCCTCATCTAACCCATTTTCAGTCTCAAATTAGTAATTAGGGCATCTCTCCATAGCTTTTAGTGAAATGACAACATTCAGTCCTCCACCACTGTCAGAACTACAGTGCAATGCTCACTGTTGAAACCTGCTGTGAATTAGCCTGATAAACAGCTTGTTCTTGTTTATACCAAGCGTGCATGTGTTTATAGAAAGAAATCGTTCAAAATCCATGTCCTCATAATCTTAGTGCACTCATGGATAAAGTGTGTTTATGCAACTAGTTTTTTTTTTTTTTTGGTGTGTACAGGTGTGCAGAGGTTTATCTCTTACCGCGAGAAGCCCTTGGCGCAGTGCGGACACACATACGGTTTCTCCACTCCTCCCTGGTGTGACCGAACATGATAACTCATCCGATCCTTTCTCTTAAACCGTTGCTGGCAGATCGGACAGGAGTACGGCTTCTCATCCGAATGGGACAACCGATGCCGGTTAAGATGGTACACGTCCCTGAAAGCTTTCCCGCATGCCTCACAAGCATGGTTCTTCCTGACCGGATTGGGGTTGGGATTAGGATTGGGAGTCGGAATGATGGGTAATGGGTTTGTTATTGGGATAGATATTTGGATCGGGGTGGGATTATTTAGGTTATCGTTGATGTTGGTATTTGGTGCAGCCTGAAAAACAATGTTAGACAGAATGTCAGATTTTATGACCTTGAGCTTTTCGTCGTTAGTGCCACAAACAAAGCAAATCTTTCTGTGGGTAAAACATGTTCACTGTTTGCTGACCTACTAACCAACTGACTGTACGTGTTCGACAAATGAGGTGAGAGCAGGTATGAGACCACGTTACACAAGTGTTGTTAGCCTGATTTTTTGCAGAGTCTTGGGAATTGGATGGTTTGAAACTGACTCCAACTACTTTAGTTCATTATGGGACAGCAGGCATATGGAGAAATAATCATGAAATTATGGTAAATGACACTTTCCATAAATAGTTTACAATCTGGTGTCCCGTTACTGTTTTAAAAGCCCACATATCAGGTTTTTGTGTTGCGAGAACTATGAGATTTGTTTGACAAACCTAATCAGCTAAAGGCTGGAATACATTTTAAAGAGGTCCTATTATGCTTTTTCACTTTTTCAACTTTAGTTAGTCTGTAATGTTGCTGTTTGAGCATAAAAAATATCTGCAAAGTTACAAAGCTCCAATTCAAAAGAGATATTTTATTTAACAGAAATCACTTTTCAAAAACTACAACGAACGACTTGTTTGGACTACAACGCATATTTTCTGGGATTTTGTGTAGCACATTTCGTATTTCAGAAGGTGGCCTTCATTTGATACAGGAACTATTCGAGCCGTTCATGCCAAACTGAGGAGAGAGGTGTTGTAATAATGTAAAATATGTGAAAAAGAATGTGTTTTTCGAACAACCTAGTATGAGAGCCTGTCCTAGTACACCCCCAAAACAAAATCCAGACTTTGTAAAAGAGCGTAATAGAACCCCTTTAAAATAGGCAATGGCTGAGGATCTCACCCAACCAGACATTCAAATCTTTACAAACACAACAAACTCACAGAGAAACATGCACCACGGTGCTAGGAGATTACATTACAAATTGAAACAATGTGTTCTAAAAACAGCTTAAAATATCAGGCATGTTTTATATCTGGGCAAAAGTCATGTTGTGTATTGCAGCCTTTAGATACTGTATGAAAAAATGTATAACGCAATGTTTTTAATAAATATCCATAAACACTAATTATTTGTTCCAAACCAGATAGCCAGCTTTATTTTAATCTGCAATCTTTTTACTCACTCTGGCAGTGTTTTTATTATTATTATTTTATGATTAATATAAAAAATTAAATAATCTATATATGTATTCCTATGATGGACACATACACAAATAGTTTTAATAAATGTTAAATATTACATTTAATTGTTTATTAAACGTTTATTACTAAAAATAAAGGCATGATAACAAATCAAGGTTTTATACTGTAATTAGATTAATTAAAACAATTTCCAAAATAAAAACATGGTTGACGATCAACTTTTTCATTTGTGTGTTTGTTTGTGTGTGTGTGTGTGTGTGTGTGTGTATATATACACTACTGTTCAAAAGTTTGGTATCAGAAAGTTTTTTTTATGTTTTTTTAAGAAGTCTCTTATGCTCATCAAAGTTGCATTTCTTTGATCAAAAATACAGAAAAAAACAGTAATATTATGAAATATTATTTGGAATTTAAAATAATGGTTTATTATTTTAATATACTTTAAAACATAATTTATTCCTGTGATGCAAACCTGAATTTTCAGCATCATTACACCAGTCTTCAGTGTCACATGATGCTTCAGGAATCATCCTAATAATATGATAGTTTATTATCAATATTGGAAACAGTTTTTCTTTTTAACTTTTTATTCATCAAAGAATCCTTAAAAAAAGTATCACAGGTTCCAAAATTTTTTTTCCAACATTGACAATAAATCAAACAATATGTTAATAAATCAGAATGGTTCCTGAAGGATCATGTGACACTGAAGACTGGAGTAATGGATGATGAAAATTCAGCTTTGCATCACAGGAATAAATTACATTTTACAGTATATTAAAATAGAAAATTGTAATATTAGGATTTTTGATAAAAAAAAGTTCAACTTTGATTAGCATAAGAGACTTTTTAAAAAAGCATTAAAACTCTTTCTGATTCCAAATCTTTGAACAGTAGTGTGTGTATATATATATATATATATATAGCCTATACATTTTATTGTTTGTTTAATTAATTTTTAATTAGCCCTAATAATTTAATTAGCCCTATTTATGAAAAGTGTGTCAAAGTTAGTAAATATGAGATATGATCATGGGTAGAAAAGTCAAAGCAAGAACAAGTGAAGTGAAGCAAAGGTATGCAAAGCATTAACCAAAGACACAAACCAACCCGACCTGAACCATTGTCCCAGTAACCACCACTGCAGTAGGGAGGGGATGGGTCACCGTCATGGCGACTGTTGCCGGGGCAATAGAGACAGCCACCGTCTCTAACTGCTGATTGCTGATTGGGGAAGGCTGGGCCATGGGGTCGAGCGCCGTGGGTATGGAGGCAGGTATAGACAGCTGGAAGAGAGAAAGAGGGATGGTCTGCCTCTCCACTCGTGCTCCGGCCTGGCTTCCATCTATTTTCTCTCTAGCGGCTCTGTCCTTCATCTTCATGCCAGTGTGGACAGACTGATGACGCCGCAGGTTGTAACTGTTCTTAAACTGCTTGTTACATATGGAGCAGATGTGTGTAGGTCGGGCTGGTCGAGTGACTGGCTTCACTGGGAAAGAGAAAAAGAGACATGGTATTCATACACAGGTGAAGTCTATTTGTCGCAAACAAACACCTACACTCAAACACGCTATGCTGTATTAAAAAAGTTTCTACTTAAAAAAGCTTGAAAGCAGTAATTACAATCAGATGTGAAATCACATGGGCAATTTCATGTTTCTTTCTCTTTTTCCACTTACTGACAGAAACAGGAAACTTTTTAGCACTAATGCATCACAATAATGTGCCAAAAATGCACATTAGTTATGAAAACCGACGCTTTATCTGTGTTTTTAATCATTCTCCTACCATTAGAGAACTAAGCATGTTTTATTGCTATTCTTCATCAGGACTACATGAAATGCATAAAAATGGCCTAATTTGCATTGGTCCTGGAAATGTTTTTACCCTAAGGATTTGAAAAAGATTCTGAAGCACAGACTTCTAAGCAGCTCCAACATGAACCACATCATAAAAACCTTTGAAAACACAAAGGTTTTGAAAAGCTGGCGAAAAAAGACGATGATATTAGACTGTGTATGTCTGTGATGAGCTACTCAATGAACTACACATCCCATGCAGCACAGCATTATAAATTGATAGGAACAGTCAAATGTATAAATATAGAGTAGCCTGAAAGGGCAGCAGGAGTGTTACAGTATTTATTATTACATTTATTATCATTATAATATATTTTTTAATTATTTATATATTAAATATTAATATTTAATAATATACTATCAATAATATATATATACACACACACATATAGTTTTATTTTATTATATATTTTTACATTTATGTCAGTTTTAATTTAGTATTTTTATTATTTTAACTTAAACTTATTTTAGTTGCCAAAGCAGCTTTTGTAATTGTCATTGAAGTTTTTGTTTTAATTATTTTAATACGTTCATCTATTATTAATAATTTAGTTTATTGCTTTATTTATTGATTTATAATTTACAATATTGCTTTATTGTAATGATAGGTTTTTATTAGTTTTAGTTAACAATAACAGCACTGGTTCATTAACCCTGATTCTGTTTCCATGGATACAGCAACTTCTCTGAATGGTGAAACCCTCTTCAGGTATTGTGGGTAGTGTTGTTTTCTGACAATTAAGCAGGATCACTAAAATACATCAGTTTATAGAGAAAATTTATTACATTTTGACTTCTGAAACCCCACTGAAATTCCAACATTGCGATCCAGTTCATGAGTTGATCTTATAAATTTGATCTTTCCAACACGCTTCGAGGGCAACAATAGAAGAGAGAATACATGCAGGCATCCTAAATGATATTCCAACTTTATGCAAATAACTGGCTCATTAAAAACACCACTCATTTACTTCTCTCTCCAGCCACTAATGCAAACAGCCTAACCTCGGTTCTCTCTCCAGTCCCCAGTGAACTCCCTTCCCACCCTCCCGTTTTGCCCCTCCCTCACCCGGTACGGGCTCCTCGCTCAGCGCCGCTGTGTCCACCGTGGATGGGGGCGGGGCTATGTGCTCAGGGGGCGGGTCCTGAGCGGCATCCGTGAGCTCCGGGAGAAGATCTGATTGGAGGGTCGCGTCAGTTTGGGACTGTGAAGGCGGAGTCTGTCGATAGAAGGGGCAAAATCACAGATTTAAACATCCTTTTGCCTTGTGAATGAAAGTACACCGGTGCCATTATAGACAAAATGCTAGCGATTATGACATGAATTTAAACTAAATGACTAAAACGCTATCAGCATTAGCACGCATAAGCATTTTCTTACCTGAAAGAGGAAATTGCTCCAAGCTGCATCCATCATGCCGTGCAGAACAGTACAGACGCCGCTTGAAATAAACTAACTCTTAGTCGATTTTTTCTCTCCTAATGGACAACGTCTCCTTCCACTATCTTATCAAATCTACATAATAAAAATGTAAAGCTACCAAATATAAAATGACAGTGAAATTTAAAAAGCGAAAGAATGCATATTACACGGACACGGATATATATATATATATATATTCTAAAATATTTCTAAACAGTACAAAATAAGAAATGACAGCTGTCAGTCACAGTATGCTATTAACGCCGCATTGTCACATAACAGTGGCTTACCATGCTTAAAAATCTAATATAAAATGAATTTCTGCATGTAATGTTTTCTTATTAATTAGACCGCTGTGTAATACTTCATGCAAAAATAATAGAATTCAAAAGGCAGTTGAATGTTTCATTTGCTCGCATGGCGTGGTTAAAAAGAATGCCATCAATTTTATTATAAGATTCCCCATCCAGGCCCGGAGCGGCGTCTGCTCGAGCCTCGGCGTTGCGTTAAATCTCATTCGCGTATGGCGAGCGCTTCACCGGTCGTCGTCCATGGCTCCGCCTCGGCATTTCAATCGAGAGGATGACATTTTTTCCTTTTTTTCCTGGAATACTCTCGCCCTCCCACCCTCGCTCTTTCTTCCTTTTCTTTTTTTATTCCGTCTTCTCTGCCCCGCTATCTCTCCCCCACCGCCGTGTCCCCCTTGTTTTAAAGGGATAGTATATTTTGAGTGAACACCCCTTCTGTGTCTTCGTCCCCTCCTCCACGCGATGTTCTCGAGCGCGGTGTCCTCTCGCGCCCCTCCGGCGCTCGAGTTCGGCCGACGCAAATTACAGCATAAACATCGAGATCAGTTAAAAGAAACCATCCGCGCGTTCTTCTCCTAAAACTAGCCCTACAACACAAAGATTCTCGGCGGTAGACAACTGGATGTTCGAATGGGGCAAAAAATGTCGCAGGTCCTTAAAGGTAAAGACGCACGCAGACGCAGCTGCGGTAAATAATAAGCGGCTCCAGATCACTGCCGATAATAATTGTACGCGCCCAATGGGATTAAACACATATCGGTCAGATTCACGCGCGACTGGCAGCTCTGGGCTCCCAGTGCGTTGCTTTTTGAGTCTCACAAAACGTTCTCAGAACAGAACACTCCTGCATTTTGAAAGGAAACAGAACGTTTGTTTTAGGCTGTGCGTGGAGCTTCAGAGAACGTTGCTTTAACGTTCACTTAACTTCTCTACATTACACCAGCAGCACAAAACCGCCTTATTTTCCTGCATTGTAGAATTAGCCATCACACTTAATATGCAGGATTAAATTCATTAAACATTCTTGAAATAATATCACCAGTAACAGCTGTATCTTGGTCTCAGGATATCTTTATTGTCAAATCATCAGGATACAGTACAAAAGGACTTTTATCCACAATCATACAACTCATATTTCTGATCATTTATAACAACAGCTGTAAAACTTCAGACAGCAAACAGTATGTCTACCCCTCTACCGCAAACCAATAATACATTCAGAAGGCTATGGACGAAAATGATGCCAGAGCCACTTGTTTAATATAATAATAGCTTCACACTCTTCAAATTAATATGCAAAGTTCTTTGCTGTTTTTGTTGCAGGTATATCAATCTAATAAAACAGTAATAGACAGGCTCATACAAAGAGTTCAAACATAATTCACTATCACAAGCAGTGATAAAACAACGGGCAGATACAGTAATACTCGAGTGGCTTTCAGTTGAAGCGTGGAATGTGCCTGTCTATGTGTGTGCGCATGTGTGGAAATGTTGGTTTTAAATAGAAGAGCTATTCTAAATCCCATTAAAATGATACATGATTATTCCATTCACAAATAAATTAACCGTCAAAAACAACAATTATTATGATGACACCTCAAAGATGACATAAACATGGTACACTCATAGTGCAACTAGTTCCATCAACAGAAATAAAAAGCCCATCTACAGGAATATGGATAAAACTCGTAAGGAATTTGCCCTGGCATTATAGCATTGATAATCTATATTCAAATAAATATAAATGCTCAGTGAGGCTTTGCAAGGTGCCATAATTGATTTCCATGAGCTCATCCTCATCTATACTGGCCAGCGTTCTTATTTCAGATGATCTCTTTTGCACGGCCTTTGTCTCATTTTTCTTGTTTTCTGCATACTCTCATGTCTCACTGTGCTTTGCTCCGCTCTCTCTCACGGTCAGCCACATCGGTAGCAGCCATGTTACAGGAGGCGGTGATGAGGTGGAGGAGACTAATGCCCGACTTCAGCACACAGACCACGCCGCAAACTCCCAGCAGCCACTGCAGCCACACTGCGCAAGAAAAAAAATGCAACCGATATTTAAATAAAATATAATTTATATTATAGCATTGCTATAGTGCATCCTTATGAGGACTACTTAAATGAATAAAAGTGCAGCAGCACTTACTAGTTGCCGAGGTTATATAACACAAAGTATTGTGTTATAAATATAAAAAAACATCACAGTCTGTAAAAATAGTCCATTATAAAGACAGTGAGAAGCAGCCTGCTGATACTCACCCTGGGGTTCCTCAATGTAGAACATTATATACAGCAGACAGAAGAACAGCTCGTTCCCCATACACATGAAAAACAACACCGGCTGTGGAAACACACTGATGTCAGAACAGCCTGTACATGTAACCTTCTTCACTAGATATGCATGCTTCAAGAACATCTAAAGAAGCTTCTGACTGTGTGAATGAATGTGCATGAGTGAGTGTGTTACCCTGGATGTGTAGTAAAGCCTTAAGATGGGGTTGCCAGAGAGGTCAATGGTCTTGTGACTGGTGGCTCCCTTCATCATGGAACTGAAAGAAACGAAAGGAACAACTCATATTATTCACAATGATTTATGTAGAACTTACAGGTAACAGATACTTAAATACAGTAATTAAACCATAAAATCTGATTCTTGGGGCCTGTGGAGATCCATGAGAGTACTCCAGGGGCTCCATGGAGAAGACAACATTTTACTGACAATTCAGATTTTTTATTAACATTAACTAATATTCTGAGATGGATCATATAATAGTGTTAGTTACTGATTTTAATAAAGTGTTACAAGGAAAATCTAGCTAGCTGAGATTGTGGGTTCAAAAGTGTCATGATAAAACGGAAATTTCTTCCTTATTGTGAAATTATCGAAAAAAGTAAAACATCTAGGGCAGGTTCTATCAATCGACTTAATTGGATGAAGACCGATCTGAATATGAGCATGCAGACGATTGCAATAAAACTGCAATTGTTTATCAGTAGCTGTACAGTATATTAGAAATGGGGGAGCTTTTAATTTAGCATTTTCACTGGAATGAAAAGCAGACTGCAATTAGCAATTAGACAAGTGAAGCGTGCATCTGAGAGCTATGTGTGGGGGTGGCAGTGGTGTCCCATGTTGCACAGTCTAGGCAAAATGACTATGTAGCCTATGCCAGGATCTGCCTCTGATGGATGATATTTACCAATTTGGGATGAGATAATCTGTAAACATGAAGAGAGATTTCTACAGACCCAAAGGCTTTCTAGAGTCCCCCCCCCCTCAATATGGTCTTGAATTAACTATATGCACGCATATATCACATGTGTCTTATAGAGTGCTGCAGGGATGGTGTATTTTTGCTAGCATTACCCTGGTTCCCTCCACCAATGTCTTATGAATTATTGCTGAAAACCTACAAAAGTTTATGATCCTTACACGTTTTGTTCATCATGATAATCTTCAGAAATTAACACCACTTCTATGAATTTTGAAGCCTAAATATAAGACTAAGTAAAAAGCTAACGTTAGGCTATACTACAGCAGAGCCACATGATTACAACGTCACCACCACTAAACTTTTGGCAATTCTTTCAGTCTTCCAAATCTATTATTTGGAAATTTTGAGTTAGAATAATTTGCAAGGGCATATATATATATATATATATATATATATATATATATATATATAGATATATATATATATATATATATATAAACGCAGTGAGGCTGTAAAAGCCGACCTTTGAGTAGATGAGCTTTCCTATTCAGCGTATTATGTCCCCGACAACCTCTCTAGTCCCATTTAGCCACTTGTTAGCAACTGCTTTTTTCAAGGCACGTAAATGTTTTAAAAACAGATGTATGCTATGTTGTAGAATAAGACGTTAACATATATTGAGCTTGTGTTAACCACAGACCTTGGCTCCTTTCTGAAATTGCATATTTCCCTGCTATATGCCAGGCAAAAAAAGAAAGTGATTGGAGTAATATGTCCAAATTCACAGTATTCATAAAAAAGTAGACAAAAAGTTATTGGATGACCTCTAATGGACACTTTACAATCCCATGAGAGGATAGTAACAGGAAAAAGGCAATGAAGCAACACAAGTGATGCCGGTACGTTACATGACAATGACAACATGACAAAGGTAGTACACATCCAGATTACATTCATTCTATATATAGACCATGCTTTTTAATGCAGCCCTTATTTCAAGCATTTAACCAAAAACTGTTCACATTGAAAACACATTGACTTTGGGATGATGGGACCAGAAATTCAAAAATGCCTAATTTTCGGGATTTAGGACTCTTTCCTGCGGCCCTCTATTGGATAAAAGATGTTTTGGACACACCTGTGCAGGTGCAGCCAGTGGCTGGCCACGTCCAGACACATGCTGAGCTGAAACAAGAAAGTGTAGGCTGGGTACAGCAGTGCCAGGTTCACCAGCAAACACATGGTCGCACAGCGGTCTGTCAACATGTCCAGCATGGCACCAAACTTTGTACCTAAGAAAGAGGCAGGGATGGGCATAGAGAGAGAAAAGCACAGAATGAGGAATAACGTACAACACAAAGCTGAATATCTCTACCTTGATTAAGAGCGCGGGCTGCGTGTCCATCGAAGGCATCCAACAGGGCACTCAGTAGGTAACAAAACACTGCCGGGCCCGGGCAACAGGGCATGAGGGAGAAGGATACCAGAGCCAGTGCAATACGGGCATATCCTATTGAAAGTGTGGAAATTAAAGATTCAAATGGATTATGAGTGCACATGTATGGATGAACATAACATGGGGACAAAATTATATTTATCATAGCCACAAATTAGGAATTTGTTCCCTCATTTTACCCTCTAATTGGTAATACAAAGTTTTGATTTCATTAAAAGTAGGGAAGAATTTAGTACAATGTGGCCCCCGATTTACTAAAACAACGAGGGAATGAATTTAGAAGTTGTAGGAACAAATTCTTAATTTGTAGCCATGATTTAAATAAAACAAGGGGACTAATTAATAAGCCATGAGAACAAATTCTTAATTTGTGGCCTCAATATAACTAAAACGAGAGAACCAATTAATAAAACAAGGGAACAAATTAATGCACCGTGGACATGAGTTACTAAAAAGAGGGACCAAATGAATAAGTTGTGGCCCCGATTCAACTAAAACAAGGAAATGATTTATAAAGCATGGGAACTAATTGTTAATTCAATTTTTTGATTCGATTTTAAGATGTGCCTGTTGCACTCAAAGGTTGAGGCAGATGAAAACAAACATGAAGGGGCGGAGTTTAAGCAGAATAAATGATTTGATAAGTCCTGCATGTGTCATCATAGAGAAGTCTGTCGTTTATCAGTTATGACAATTTCATTAAACATTACTACGTTAGGTCGAAATATGTTGACAATATATGCACAGATAAACCGTTTACAAGAAGATCCATAATATGCTTTCAGACAATAAATGGTGTGAATTTTAATTTCATACCGACTTTAATCCTTTTTGTATACTACATTGATAGTACATAATGTTCTCTATAGATCATAGAGTATTGACAGCTAACTTACAGCATCATGTCAACATCCGCAGGAAGTCAAAAAAAACGCTGTCAAATACAATCATCATGAAAACTGTACGCTAGAATCTTTACATAAAACCTTTGTGACCTTTAAGCACACATTTTAAATGAAATGGCCATTATCTGTCAGAGAGCTGCGGTTAAACGTGCGAAGGACTCGCTCGCTGACGGTTCTTATGCCGAGTTC